ATTTACTAATAATTATACAAATAATTACTTACTGACTCAATTGTTGAAGTAATTTTAATATTAGTTTTTTGTGTCTTATTTATTAATGTAAATGACTCCATATCTTTTTCAAATTTTTTTGTTGCTTTACGAATGCTGGATTCAAATTTTTCTCCAATAGCGCGTACAAATATATCAGACATTCGACCAGTAAAATCAGCACCTACTCTACCAAATGATAAACCAAAATATGTACATTGACCCAATATTGAATCTATAGATGTTACACCCGGTAAATCTTGCTCTAAAGTCGTTAGAAACTGAAATATCTAAAAGAAATAATTAGATTATATTAAAAATATATGTTTGCAAAATGTATCTTTAATATACCTTTTCTTCAATCCAATGATAAAATATAGCACACTCATTTACAGTTGGATCTCTTCCTGGTATTATAAGTTCATCATCATTAAACATAGCCCTATATTGTGTTATTATATTAAACAAATGTATCCTTGATAATTCTATTGTTTTTGTGACATGAAGATTAGCTAAATAAAAGTATCACACATTATTAAACTATATATGTAACAATACATTGTATAAAATTAACTTACGGTCATCTTTAGGTATAGCATTCAAAAGACTTTGAAGCCAACTATCACGAGCTTGTAGAAATTTTATACGTAATTCTGGTTCTGTGAAAGCATCCATTGATCGTAATAATCCAATAAGTTGTAAGCATCTGGCAAGTGGTAAATCTCCTCTTAATGAACCAACAACTTGTCCTACCATGCCTGACCAACTGCTCTCAATTTCTGCCACTATGGACTAAATTGTTAATAAACAAAATGTAATATATTTTGTTATATTTTTTAGTTATGTAAAGATATACCGATATAATTGGAATATCTCCATGTTTAGTTCCTAATTGACGTGCATACTGAGATAATTCTAATGCTTCATTATATTGATTACTCCTCAAACAAGATTCCATTAGTTGAGGCATTTCAAGTACTTCAAGTAATTCTGCATTTCTTGTTAATGTTAAACTATTTATCCTTCTATGTGTATTTATGTCTTTTGAGGTATCACAAAATGATTGGCATTTTTCCACAAACATGGGTATCTTTTGTACAAGTCCATCAAGCCGATTTTCAGTCTCATTAAACTGGGAATTATAGAATATGTTTTGTTAATATATGTAGTGATAAGACTGTAAAAATGAAAAAGGTTTGTTTCAATATTTGTTACTTGTTTAAATATTTCTCTGGAACTTTCTGCTGTTTGGATAAAAGTTTTATAATTTGCAAATACTAGCTCTTGTGTGGTTTGTAATACTGAATTTTTTTCATCATCTAAATGATCAGGTTCCTTATCTGAAAAATATGAACGTATTTAAGTTCTGTTTTAAAGAAAAACAGATAATTATTAATACAAGTTGTCTTACTGAGTTGATCCACATCATAACCACCAAGTTTTGATAAGTATTGGTAAAAGTCTGGACTTTCTTTCCATGATTCTATAAAAAGAATATAACGCTGAACATTTTTAATTAACAATTAAAAACAAAAATCATTTTAATATAATTCGAATATAATATAACGATATTGAGAAGTAAATTTTTTATTATTTGTAAGAATAAAAATAAGTCACCTGGTATGCCGTTTGGAAATATAAGATTTATAACATTTTCAGTTTCGATATCCATTTTTTATTTAAACAGTACATTTGTACATTCTTTGAAATATTTAAACAATTTTTACGTGTAACATGTTGCATACACAAGTACACGTATGGAATATACTCCCTGATCTTGACAGAATATCGTGATTGACTATAGAGTAGCAGTACAATTATTGGTTGTTCATTGCATGAACAGTATACGAGTTTAACAAGAAAGATCCAATGATTTTAAACCTTGAATGGACTACTGTTTACTATTCTAATATAATTGTATAAAAATCTATATTAAAAAATAACAAACTTATATC